AGAGCACCCTTAAAAAAAAAAGGGGGTGGCAATTCACATACCACAATTTGACTTTCAGTCTCTCTTTTTCCTCACTAGCTCATTTCTTAGGCAAAAATATGCCAAGTTCTCTCATTCTGTCCAACTACAACTGAGGCTAACTCTACTTGCACATGTCTTATATAATAAAAGTGTAACATGCAAATTGACCAAACAGCAGAACAGCGGGATGACCATCTGGGACCATGCTGTGACACCCACTGGTACCAGGCCAGCCACGGCGGGAGCGATACGATTGGTCGGAGGCCCGGCCATTGCACCATGACCACCCCGCAGAGGGAGGCCCAGGTTACTGGCTGGTGGGGCAATCAATTGGGGGGCTCCACGATCGCCCCAAAGAAGGAGGCCCAGGCCACCAGCCAGCGGGCTGCGGTGGGTGGGTGAAGCCTCCCTCTGTGAGGGAAGCCTAGGTCCTGGGTGCCAAAGGGAAGTGATGTCGACGGCCGGGGAAGGAAGGCCTACCCTTGCACGAATTTCGTGCAAAGTCATACTTTATTTTTCACAATAGTAAAATCACGATTTTATTCATAGAGACAAATTACAAAATTATGTTTTAAAAGACAAGCAAAACATCCTGAAGCAAATCTATTCTAAGCAATGCCCACCTGGTACTGTGTTTTTTTTCCCCACATTTAAAAGTTTTGCATTTAAAGTTTAAGATAGCTTAGAGAACTTTGATATAATATGGCTACAAGCAACCCACTCATATCATGTCACTGAGCTTCTGGGATAATTTTAATACCTGGCTTACTTTTCTTGTATTTACACTGCTATTATATTCACTAACATTCTTTGGAAACCATGAATAGGTGATTGAGAGCTCACACCAGGGATGTGCTATGAGGGAAAGTTTGCCTTCTCTTAAATTAGGGGTGGGGAACATTTTTACTGCCAAAGGCCATTTGGACATTGACATCATTCACGGGCCATACACAATTACCAACTTAAAAATTAGCCTGCTATATTTGGTCAGACATTTAATTAACTCACCCTTAATGCCTTTGCTGGGCCAGACCAAATGACTTCTCAGGCCTTATATGGCCTGAGGGCCGGACATTCCCCACCCCTGTCCTAAATAACCAAAAGTAAAAAGAACAAGAATCTAACCCAAGAAATATGACTAAGAGCAAATGTATAATGAGCCCTGTTGTATTACAGAATTTCAAAAGTTTAAGAACAGAATTACAAGTAATACATAATCTTCAATGCTTACATTTTTCTTTTTTTACCCAAATTTAATCGGATTTTAGCAACTTTGGGATATAGGCCAGCACAGATGACCGCTTTAATTATCTTCTCATTATCTATTAGGGGTGGGAAGGTAGAGAAAAAGGTGTAAAATACTGATACAATGGACAATAGCAGCAAGTTATTGACACTGTTTTCTGCTTTACCTGAATTTATATTGGATTTTGGATCTTTAGGACTTCTACTGCTTACAAATCCAGCTCCAAGAAGATGCTCAGCAAACTGCCCTTTCATGTTATGCAGCATCTAGAGAACAAGTAAACAGAACTAAAAAACCTTTCTCAGACTAACAAGGGGTTATAAAACATAAATAAATTTAGCTATAAGCTTTCCCTGCTCTATAAAATACTGCAAAATGTGGTGTTTTAGAGCAGGAATTGGTAAACTACATTATAAAAACCTGTTTTTTGTCAATAGAACACACCCATTCATTTACATATTATCAATGGTTGTTCTGCACTATAATGGCAGAGGTGTGTGGCTGCAAAGGAGACCATATGGCTTGTAAGCCTACAATAGTTATAATCTGATCTTTTACAGAAAAGATTTGCCTATTGTAGGATATAAGTACTGATATTTAAGGATTACTCCATTTTGCAAAAAGACTAATATAGTCTTCAAAACTGTTCACCCATATTTTGAAAGAAATACAGAAAAGCATATTTCCAACATCCATCCATATTTCTACTATTGAGAATTAACTACTGTTGCTTATTGGCACAAAAACTTAAGGTCTTTTTCTTTAAGAAAAATCATTATTTGGGTAAAAATGATGCATTGCTCATTATAAAACACTCAAGTAATATTGAAAAGTAGAAATAAAGAAAATTCCCTAAACTCAATACTGTCAGAAAGATCATTCATTAAGAAAAAATATTGCAGGACATTTATGTATACACTGACAGAAGAATTAGACAAAAATACTATCCTAACAATGGGATAACAGTATAGAAGCTGTTTTATAAAAGTATTAAAATCAATTCTAGCTCAATTTTTTAAGTTAAATAGAAATGAAACTGGACTAGATGAACTTTACAATTTCATAATCATGAGATATTTAATAAGGTATCTTTGCAAGCTTAAAATAAGAGACTACAAAACATGAACTTGGTCATATTTAAGTGTATCTTCCTTTTATGAACTGTGTGTGACTTTAGTTTTCCAACTTAATTTCTCTTATAACTGACTCTCTGGGTTACCTCCTGAGTTTTATTACCATTATTTTTTATTGATCTGGATAATGATCTTTACATTCTTATTTTGAACTAGTATATTTACATAATTTCAGTGTACATCACCAGCTGATTTAGTGTGCATTCTTCATTACTGAATTCTTTTTGATTCATCCCTCAAAAGGCAGCATTTCATTTTCAATGAATTTTTCAAGGACAGCTCAAGTTCATGGGTGCAGTACTTCAAGTGCTTTCTTGAATGTCTATCTTTGTCTTCAGATTTTAATATCTTGACTGAATACAATATTCTCAAATAACACTTGGGTTCAGCCAACTTTCCATACTTCTGGTTCATTTTTTTTCCCAGGAAAATGTTCTTACACATTTCTCAAATACATACTTCATCACACTTGAATTGTCTATGTATAGACATCTATTATTTTCAGGATGAATTAATCCTGTCTTCCTGTCTGTAAGTTTTTTACTTAATTAGTTTAGTGTTTTCCTTTTGCAGCTGCATTTACAAAGTGTGATGATCTCAGGCCTTTCTTCTATGGCAATACTTTGCTTTAAAGGGATGTAGCCGAAACCGGTTTGGCTCAGTGGATGGAGCGTTGGCCTGCGGACTCGGGGCCAGGTTCGATTCCGGTCAAGGGCATGTACCTGGGTTGCGGGCACATCCCCAGTAGGAGATGTGCAGGAGGCAGCTGATCGATGTTTCTCTCTCATCGATGTTTCTAACTCTCTATCTCTCTCCCTTCCTCTCTGTGAAAAAAATCAATAAAATATATTAAAAAAAAATAAAGGGATGTATATTTTGTTTATTGTTATTCTTTTGGTCTTTAATTTTTCTTCTTAGCCCAGGAGTCTTTTCATTCTATGGTTTCCTTTCTTATTTTTGTTTTATTGAATTCACATTCTTAAATCTTTTCAGCCCAACGTCCAGGCTGACTCAACAGACCAGGCGCTAGGAGCAGGTCCAACGTGGAGCTGAGGTAGAAACCTCAGACCGCTGCGATTATAGGCATTGTCAGTTTAAGGTGCTGGGTTGCATGTGGGGAAATGTTTCAAAAGATACCACACTATGAAATGTTTTAAAGAATAAACTCTTTAAAAAAAAAAAAAAGTTCAACATTCAATCCTGTCCATTTATTTGGACCAGACTGTTTGAATTCCAAAAATAAAATTGGACCGCAAAGGGTATTAAACTGCCCCATATTAGGAAACAGTTGTAAGTAAGGCTACAGCCATGATCCTTTTTATTTTGTTGATGCCTTGGCAGTTTTGATTAAATATGCTAGATTCCTGATTCTTTTACCCACTTATAGAATTGTTAAATGTCCAGTCCAGGGTTCATGCCACACAGCTGAAGTGTATACGTGATGGGGAAAAGTGAGGACATTCATATTCTTACTGTTTTGAGATCACTTCTCCCTTACAGAGCATCTGCCCTATGTATTGTTAACTTTCTTCTGAATCACAAATGCCTACTGCCCAGTGTTTCTCACTACACTAAGTCAGTTAAAGATAAAGATACCTACCTAAAAGTTAAAGATACCCTGTTTGATATTAAAAATAGGTTTTAGGAGTATTAGTGAAAATTTTCAGGCAGAACCATCAAAATGTCAACTAGAGGGTGGGTACAGGAACAGTAACCGAGCTTTACTGTTTTTTCTTGCTACACTTTAGATTCTCGTAGCTTTCCTTAGCCATCAGTTGTTTATTGTATTATACATCTTTTATTATTTTGTTGCAGTTGCTTTAATAAAGATTTTTATAATGACTCAATTTCATAAGACAAATTCACACAATTAACCTTTTGCTACCAATCTAACTGTACAAAATGCATTCATATATTCCCTCTCTAATATAAATGAGAATCACTTCAAAACATTCACCATTACCTGCAGTGTGTTTGAAGACAGAAAATATTCCCAGCAATAATCTTTTTCATATCTGAAACCACGTCGTCTAGCTTCTTCCCAGCCCTATGATGCAAAGAAATAAAGAAAACTATATCATTCCCCAAAGCAAAGATTGCCTACTTGTCTGTCTTTATTTGGGTAATAATCTTCTATTGATGTTCTCTCTGTAAAAAGGTCAAAGAATTTTGAAATTTATAAACTAAAGAAAAACAAAAACCTCCCCATGATCCTAATTGCTAAGAGATAACTGCCACTGAATTTCCAGACCTTTCTACAAATAAGTTATCTAGTAATACATTGTACATTTTATATAAACTGGCATCATACTGCACATAATGAAGTTAACAAAATGAGCACTGTTCAACAAACTTCAATGCTATCAAATATTTTTCAACTTCACAAACATAAAATTATTTTTTAGCTAGAGGAGGAAAGATGGGGAAAAAGGGAAGTAATACTGAATGAGCTCAAAGAAGAAAAAAAAAAATCCCATGCTATGCAGTACAAAACTGACTCTAGAAGTTGTTGTCTCTATATATCATATAACATTTAAATTTTTGAAAAGATGGGTGATAAATGTTTATCTTCAGCTAAGCCTGGCATTTGGAAGCAGAAAATGTCTATATTCTGAATAATGTACATGATTAAGATATTCTATCAAAATGTTAAATCGGAACATGGGTTTAATTTACTAATGATCAGAGAGAGACTTGTCATAAATGTCAGTAAGATAGATACAAGTGAATATTAAATAAAATTTTAAAATAAATTATTTACTTGTTCAATTGTGATCAAAACAGGTACACTGAAAAATGAGGTTAAATTTTTTTCAAATGTTCACCTAATTTTAAACATTCTCACTTAGCAATTTATTCCTAATACCTATGATAATATAGGTTTTAAAAAGTTAAATATTGTCAGCTTTTCTCTTGAATAAACTGTCACAAGTTATTTATTTATTTTTTTTACCTCAAATGCATTCACAACCGTCAGGTGGTCACTTTTAGAGTCCTTTGCCAATTCCTTTCTTCTTGCATCTGCGACCTTTTCTTTCCCCTTAAAAAATACAGAGGAAGGCAATTTAAATGTCTCTGACAGAATGTAATAGGGCACAGTAATAAAAAGCGAGTGAAAAATTGTACCTAAGCAACAACTATTACGTTTGCATAAAAACGCCGAGCCTTTCCGTTGTATCTTTCTTACCAATGGAATGACAAAGGGATCCTTGAAGCTGAGACTAGCAGCAATGGTGAGGACTGGGTCTAAGCAACAGAACAGAGCTCCGAAAAGAATCATCTTTCCAATGTGCGGCTCAACTGGTAATCGTGCTAAGTGGACTCCAAGAGGTGTCAATTCTTCTTGTTTATCCAAAGCATTCTGTAAGGCAAGGTTTATGTTTAAAGCAGACATTCTAAAGCATCACATTCAACCCTGATTTTAGTTTGCTTAGAAAAAAAGAGGCCACTCTTACATGGGAATGCTGTAATTCAGTCAAGTTTTTTAAAAACCTGGGCTCCACTGTTGACAAGAATTTGCTGGCCTTTTCAAGATTTTGTTGTCTGCAAATGATTACATCAAGATCGGCTCTTAAATTCAGTTGGGAGAGGGGATGTCACCCTGCTCAGGCTTTAAATGTTGCTGTCCTTTGGTTGTCCATCTCTACCCTAACTAATATGATCCTAAGCACCACCTAGCTCTCCAGCTGTATTCTATTAGATAAAAGCTTGAAGGGGAGAGGGGTCACTAATAAAACCGTACTACTTCCTAAAATGCTAGTAACCTCACTAAATCTAACCTACTTTCCAACAAAGATGGTTAGATAATATACAATGCTTGTTCATCTAAACAACTTATTACTCACATTAAAAGCTATTGCAATGTTCTTATATGGGCTAAAGTCTCAAAACATTCAGCATGGATGGCTCAAATAAAACTGAAGTATGTAAAATATACTTGGGCATCCTCTAACTCAGCACCAATCAACAGAACTTGTAGCAATAACAGAAATGTTCTATTACTGTGCATTGAATACATGAGGCTAGTGCAGGGGTGGGCAAACTTTTTGACTCGAGGGCCACAATGGGTTCTTAAACTGGACCGGAGGGCCGGAACAAAAGCATGGATGGAGTGTTTGTGTGAACTAATATAAATTCAAAGTAAACATCATTACATAAAAGGGTACGGTCTTTTTTTTTTAGTTTTATTCATTTCAAAAGGGCCGGATCCGGCCCGCGGGCCGTAGTTTGCCCACGGCTGGGCTAGTGGCTACTGTAATGGACAGCACGGCTCTAACTTCGTTCTCTCCATTCTGGGCACTAAGTCACAGTCCCTTTCTCATCGCCGTAGGCACTACCTTACAGCTAGTTCTGTGCTTCTCAACATGATCTTGCACAGATGGCTACCAAGTAAGCAGTCAATTGACTAAGATACTGAAACTTAGTTTCTCAAAATACTGACTAAATTAATAAAAAAATTTTAAGGGGAAAAAACGGTAAGAATAAAATGACAGGTAGGGAAACATGCTATTTTGGAGAAAACCCACTTGTTAGTATTTCTTCAAAAATACAAGAGTTGCCTTAATAAAATGTCCATGCTGTCAATAAGTTACTTAGATTTGACAAAAACTCTAAAAACACTAATCAGAAAAAGTAGAATAAAACAACCAAATTCATTTCAAGAATACAAAGACAAAGAATTCAAAGATTTCAAAAGTGTATGGAATTTTAAATCAAGCCTACAATGAAAAAAATTGTGTGGAAAGAACCCAGTATTAGAAAACATCATAAAGGTATCATTTTTTAACTTTCCAACTCATATTTCATACACTCAGGTGAATAGTCAACTAGTGTATAAAACTGGCACTGCACATTCACCAGTCTGCTCTGCAGTATGAGAGTAAATATATAATTAGCTGGCTGACATGCTCTTAACATTCTACATCTAAGTTCCAATTAAAAAGAAAAATCAGGTTTACCAGTTCCATCAGGTGTTTTATGGAGAGTGACACTGCTTCATTTGACGGTGGGTCCATTAACCTACTCAGAAAATGAGCAATTCCACCTAGCCTTAAGATCTAGGGGAAGACAAATACAATTAAACATGTATCATGTATTGCCATAACAGTTTAGTCCTGCCTGTGTCACTCATTCAAGAAGAGTAGCAAACCTAAACATTATTTTCAAGTTAGTGTTTTTACTAGAGTAAGTTAAAATTACATTTGTGATTCCATAAAAACATGTTTAAAGGTTAACATGCTACTTTCTATCATCCACCAACTCTTATTAATGAGAAAAGTAGTTGGTTAAAATCGGTTTGGCTCAGTGGATGGAGCCTTGGCTGTGGACTGGGGAGTCCCAGGTTCGATTCTGGTCAAGGGCATGTACCTGGGTTGCGGACACATCCCCAGTGGGAGATGTGCGGGAGGCAGCTGATCGATGTTTCTCTCTCATCGATGTTTCTGGCTCTTTGTCTCTCTCCCTTCCTCTCTGTAAAGGATCAATAAAATATATTTTAAAAAAAATAAAAATAAAATCTCAACTAACAAGTTGATTACCAATTAACAAGTTGATTTCCTTATTTTCAAAATAAGGATAACTTTATGAAAATATGTAAAATACTGGAAAAAGGGGTAAGTAGTTTATAAAGAGAAATAAAAATCTTAAGATGGAGTAACAGTAGCTAATAATTACTGAACACTTAACTATGTGCCATTAAGAGTTATGTGAATTTAAGTTATTTGTCCAATGTAACAAAACTGGCTTGTCAGAGGGGTGGTGAGATTCAAACACAGGTTCTTTGGCTCCAGAGCGGTAAATGATGACAAACTTTTAAATAAGCATTTGAAGGAAGTTTATAAGCATAGTTTACTAACACACAGAGGAAACAAACGCATGATAAAAATTAGAACCCCACCCCCATTTAGCTTTTGAACCACCCACCTAATTTACCTTTATTTGTAAACAAAGTTCTTCCAAAGGAGTTCTTAAGATTTCTGGCAGTTGGTAGTCATCTAGAAGGCTTGCTCTAAGACTATTATACAGATGATAGCAATGACCAGGCTGAACTCTTAAAAGAAAAAGGGGGGGGAGGGGGGCGAAAAGCAGGGAAGAAGCATTTATCAGTGACATTTTAGAACTCCAGAGAAAAAAATAGGCAGAAAACGTAGCCAATTATCTATTTCTTATAAGCCACACCATAACTAATTATTATTTCACTTTTACTTATCACATATCAGTGTCCCGGTACACGGATTCATGCACAATGAAAGGAAATTAATTAGAATACTTTAATATCACTATTTGTCCTTTCTCTATAATAGAAGCGTCAACCAAATTCACAACTGACAATGACAGATCGAAACACACCCGTGCGATTGGCGCCAGTGAGAGCTTTGTATGTATCGTGCATGCGCCAGTCAACTTAGCCTTTTATATAGAGAAGAGATAAACTTGCTTAATTAGACCTGCTTTCTGATTTAGCTAAACTCTTTCTAGCCTAGTGAGGCACCCCAACTTCTCTTTCAGGTAATTGTCAGCGACACAGCAGTAAATATCAACACAAGGCAGATTATTATTGTAGATCACTCAGGGAGAACAAAGGGTAAAATATTTAACTGTAGCAGTGTTTGACCGTATTCTGCGCAGTGAGAAAACCTGAAGTCGTTTTCAAGTTCACCATTTTACTTCTTTTCCATTGGATCAAGTTTCTAAACTTTCTGAATCTCCATTGTCTTGCTAATAAAAAAAAAAAAAAAAAGGCTCCTACTGAGTCTCCTATCTACCTACTCCAGGACTACTGTGAGGATCAAATGAGATGAGGCATGGGAAAACACTCCACAAACATTTGGTTGAACTGTAAATTGTTTGCACCTGACTATAAAGCAAGTCAGGTTCCTGGGCCGAAGAAACTCCAAGGAGGCTAGTCCCTAGGGAGAGGAAGCTGGGAGTTGCTACATGACATCATTACCCAGTGCCCACAGTGACCGTTTCCGGGCTGGGCTGTGGGTCACATTTTGTGCCAGCAGCGTTGCCTGCGATTTGGTGGGCTGTCGCTCTGGGGTGGTGGCGGGGCCTGTGTCCCACTTGGGGGAAGCTGAGTGTTGGTTTGTCAGTGCCAGATCCATGGTGCACTTTATTTTTAAACTAGAGGCCCGGTGCACAAAAATTTGTGCACTCGGGGGTAGGGGGTCCCTCAGCTGAGCCTGTGCCTTCTCTCAGTCTGGAACCCTTTGGGGGATGACCACCTGCTGGCTTAGGCCTGCTCTCCGGGGGATTGGGCCTAAGATGGCCATCAGACATCCCTCTGGCAGGCCGGCAGTCCTCAGGGGATATCCATTTGCCAGCAGGGAGCAGACCTAAGCTGCAGTCAGACATCCTTAGTGCTGCTGAGGAGGCAGGAGAGGCTCCCACCACCACTGCTGTACTGGTAACCATCAGCCTGGCTTGTGGCTGAGCAGAGCTCCCCCCTGTGAGAGCACATGACCACCAGGTGACAGCTCCTGCATTGAGTGTCTGCCCCTTGGTGGTCAGTGTGTGTCATAGTGACCAGTCATTCCCAGTCTTTCTGCTGTTACGGTCAGTTTGCATATTACCCTTTTATTATATAGGATGGCCAGCGCACATGAAGGCAGCTCCTGCGTTAAGCGTCTGCCCCCTGATGGTCAGTGCGTGTCATAGCTACTGGTCGAAGGGAAGGACACTTAGCCACACACACACACACTAGTGGCCCGGTGCATGAAATTCATGCACATTAAAAGAGAATTAGACGAAATATTTTAATATTGCTATTTGCCCTTTCTCTATAATAGAAGTGTCAGAGATGAAAGAAAATTAGTAAAATGTATAAGAAAATCTTCCTCCTGTCGGAGTCTGGGGTGAGTCAAGTTCCCCCCTACCCATGCGTGTTTCGAAATTGCACAAGACCCAGATATGGCCAGCCCCACCCCCGTCAAGCCAGGTGGGGGGTACAGCCTCAGGTCCCCCGGCCCGGTGCTGGGGTGGGGGGTAGGGGTGCGGGGCCTCAGATCCCCCAGCCCCGGCGTGAGGGTGTGATGACCATTTGCATGTTAGCTCTTTATTATATAGGAAAGATATAGATTCCTTCTCCCAATGTGTTTTCAATAGCCTTAAATCCAATATCTCTATGTCTTAGATCTAAGAAATAGAAGACTCTCTTCTCCCACCAATAATTTGGTTCCCTATTTCTATCTTACAGAATCCACACTGCTATGCTCAATAACAGCAGTCTATTTAGATTAATCTCTATATGCCTTGTGAACATTTTATGTAACACATACTGACATTATATTAACTTGTCTATATTATTTAAAATGCTTTTAGGTATGTGCTAATTAGTTGAACTCTCAAAAGAATATTGGAAACTTCATTTTTTAAAATCTAGTGACATGAATATTATTCACTGGACAATATTAGGGACAGATAATGAAGAGGTGAGAATATTCATGTATTTTCAAACAACAAGTTTTCTATCAACTCTTGATGCTAATGGAGAAGGTGGTCCTTTTCCTATAGGAATAAAAATAAATTCTAAAAGTTGTAGCTATTTCTATCACAAGTTTACAAAAACTTCATCTATTATACAACACTAGAGGTCATGGGTAGGGCCCCTAGGCCTGGCCAGTGATCAGGGCCAATCTGTGGGGCAACCAGTGGGTCGATTGGGGGGGCCTCCCTGCTGGCAACCACCTTGGCTGACCTGGGGCCTGTGGGCTGGGGGCAGCTCCTGCGTTGAGCGTCTGCACCCTGGTGGTCAGTGCGCGTCATAGCGATCGGTTGTTCCGCTGTTTGGTTGATTTTGCATATTAGGCTTTTATTATATAGGATGTGCTCAAAAACTAAGGGTGCTTCCACCTAGGACCACATATTTTGCTCTGACCTTTAAATTAATTACCAAGCTAATCAGGTTTTGCTAAAGGAATTTACATCTATGGAGCCTACAAGGGACTATTTTCCATTTCAATTAAAACATTGTAGCCCTTGCCGGTTTGGCTCAGTGGATAGAGCGTCGACCTACGGACTAAAGGGTCCCAGATTTGATTCCGGTCAAGGGCACACGTCCGGGTTTCAGGCTCGATCCCCAGTGGGGACCATGCAGGAGGCAGCTGATTAATGATTCTCTCTCATTATTGATGTTTCTATTTCCCTCTTCCTCTTCCTCCCTCTCTGACGTTAAAAATACAAAAACGAAAAAAACAACAACAAAAAGCCACACTGTAATTCCACAGTTAATCTATACTAGGAGAGTGGAGATGAAGAGTTAGATAAAAATGTAACATACTTCATTTATTTTATTTCCTGGTTCAAACCTAACGCCTAGTGTATGTGCTATTCTTAAAAGTGTGACAAAGCCCATTCCCTACAATGAATACTTTTTAAATCAGCACCCAGTGGTGATAGGTCTGCATGGAAAAACCCCAGTCTTGCTGGGTCCCCAATCAAGTTATCCCCTAAAAAGTGATTAGAAGGGTACATTACTTACACTAAACCATGACTTTGCATAATCTAATAAACTACCTGGAAATCAAGTTTTACTAGGACAATCTGCAAGTATGTCAGAGCTTTATAGATATATTACAAACTTAAAAAAATGGTCTGTAATGTTTTCTTTCAACTTTAATTTCCTTACTTAAGCCAATACCTGAACACTAATGGGAATCTTCTCTAGAGCTCGATAGGATTCTACACTCACATGAATAAAAGTGTAAAAATGCTGTGGAAAAATGCATGAAAATCAAAAGTACAATTATTTGTGTGGATGGCAAATCATTCTCCTATCATTAAGACATACTTTTACTTATACTACTATTTATGTCAATGGGAGAAAGGTCCTTTCCTTGTGTGTTCATTGGTAACTAACGGTGCAGAACCAGTACAGCTGTACAGTGCAGGAACCAGGAGGCCAGGCTGAGGGAGCAGAATGCCTGGATTCAAGTCCTGCCTCTGCCATCTTACAAAGTCATGTGACTTTAAACAGATTCTTTAACTTCTTTGTACCTTAATTTCCTTACCCTTGAAATAGATAATAACCTACCTCATGGCACTGTGCTGAGAATTAAGTTAATATAGTAAGTGATTAGGACATGACCTGACATTCAAATAGTATTATTAGTTACCATTAGTAATATACACTTCTAAAAGAAGTAAAATTATAGGTAATATAACTAATAAGAATAAACAACATTAATTTTAATTAACTGTATTGAGAATAAGAGGTAGAAAAATCATAAAAAAGAATTCCAAAGAAATTATAATTAAAATTTTTCCATTTAAAAATATGCTATAGTGTTTTAAAAAATATGAAAAGTAACTCTCCTAATAAATACTGTATTTGCCGGCGTATAAGATGACTGGGCGTATAAGACGACCCCCTAACATTTCCACTCAAAATACAGAGTTTGTTATATACTCGCCGTATAAGACTACCCCCTCTTCCGCACACCTTCCACACACCAAATAAAAGGTAAAACAATATCAGATTTGATTTTAACATTTTAATTTATATTCAAATGCTTATGACATGCAGGAAAACTGTCACAAGGCTGTATGTAATCAAACATATACATAAAACAGTGCAAGTTTATTACCGGTAAACATACCGGTAATTCACTAAAGAAAACACACTCTATAGACTGGTACCATAGATGCTTCTCAGGAACACAGGCAAGCAGCCCACAACCTAGAGGGACTGTCAATGATAGAAGAAAGAT